CGCAGCAAGGAGTCCACCCGCTTGATCTCCACCGAACTGCGGCGGTAGTACAGCGACGCGAAGTAGTAGAGGATGATCATGGGCACGAAGATAATGCCGAGGTACGGGAAGGTGTAGAATACCAGCCCAGCAGTTCCAAGAACCGAACTACAATGTGTTGTGAGCAGGACTCATAGGTCAACATTGTGCATATTACGCACCTAGCGGTCATGAGCAACTGTGCGTTGAATGGAAGCTCAATCAGAGGATATTTTGACGCAAGCGATTCGACTCACGTTTGTGGCAATGATGGACATCTCAGCATCGAGGGTATCCTGATCCTTCGACAATCGTGATATGATACGTCCTGGAAGCTCGTGTGAATTCATGCGAGACGGCAGCATGCGACTCAATGCTCAATGCTCACCTAAAGGAGTAGTATCGAAGAACGACACTGGGGACCGGACAACCGCGTTCAACGCCGCCTCGAACATCCGTAAGCTAGCCTTCAAGCTCAACAGGCTGAAGAGCAGGACACCATAGATAAGCATACAGACAGACCAGCCGTGCTCGCGAGCACAGAAAGCCGCACGCACCTGACGGTAAGACTTAGCAGGAACAAGAAGATGCCGCTCCCAACGCCGAGCGCCGCATACGTCCCCATGTATTCGCCCTGACTGAACCCAGGAATTGTGGAAGACGTCCAGAAGCCGAGGAATAGCGTGTTCGCGACTATCCCAGGGAGTATTAGCACACTATAGCGGACTACACACGACGCCAGAGCCAAACGCTCACCTTGCGAGCTCTGCGAGAGCACAACACACGATACAAGAGTCACGAACCCAACAACCCCGCCGGCGAAGCGGAAATACTTCGCGTACGTGGACCATGTCACGGAGCCCGTCAGGCGCTCCTCCTCCTGCATCAGATCCTTCGCACCCTCCAAGTTCTGCGCTGCTTCTGGTACGACAGCCTCCGAGACATCATGCTTCGAGTCAATATTCTGCAGGTCGCCGGCTTCTGTGTTCAGCTCCTCTTGCTTGTCCTGGCTGCCGTACTCCTCGATGAGCCGCGCGAACATTTGACCGCGTTGCATGAGCTCCTGTAGGCGCCGTCCCAGTACCTATCAGCAAGGCAGATAATGTCTTGGACCAGATGCAGCACTCACGGCATATGTACCCTGCTCGACGATCGCGCCCTCATCCATGACATAGATGTAGTCCGTCTTGTCTAGAACGTGCAGCGCATGTGTCACGAGCACACGTGTCTTGTCTGCGAGCGGGCCGTGCAGAAGACAGCCGTCTAGGAGCTTCTTACCAACGTACGAGTCGACAGCACTGAGAGGGTCATCCATGAGCACGATGTCCGCGCCAGAGTACGCTGCGCGCGCGAGCGAGACCCGCGCCTTCTGTCCGCCGCTGAGGTTGATGCCCTTCTCCCCGATCTCGGTCGCTACTCCGTTCGGAAGCATCTCCAGGTCGGGCTCGAGACAGCACGCTTTGATGATCTGGCGAAACCTGTGGTGCATCAGCATCAGCGTCGTGCTCAACACAATTATCAACTCGAAGTGTAGACACTGACCTCTCCTCGTCCTCGTCCTGCCCAAAGATGATGTTCTGGCGGAGCGTCGCATTCATGATCCACGGTGTTTGGGGCACGTACGCGGCAGTAGATGAGAACACACACTACAACGCGATCCGGTCAACGTCGAGATCACCACAGGCAAGGAAGGAGAAACGCACGTTTCCCCTGGTCTTCCTCATCTCCCCGATCAGCGCTTGCAACACCGAACTCTTCCCAGATCCGACACGCCCAACGATAGCCACGAATGCACCCTTCGGGACCCTCATGTTGAGGTGTCTGAGCTCGAACGGCTTATCCTCCTGAACCTTCTCGTTCACCTTCTCTTCGGGAGAAGCTGTCGTCGGAAGGGTGGGCTCGGCGTCCTTGCCCTTGCCCTCGTCCTTGCCCTGGCCGACGACGTCTGTCTTGGCATTTGCATCCGGGCTCTCGGCGCTACCATTAGCTTTGCGCACCTCTTCCCATGTGAAGTCGCCGTCGACGTCGAGCGCGACTTCGCTTGCGGGGTCAATCTTGTATGGCGCGGCGAGCTCTTCGGCACGGAGAAACGTAGAGACGCGGCGGACCCCGACGAGGGCGTCCATGACCTGGGCCAAAACAATGGGAAACAGAGCGAGCGGCATGCGGATGATCTGAAACCGTCAAGGTCGGTGTATGCTATGGAAACAAGCAGAGGTAGAGCTCACATCGAAAAATTGGACGGAGCTGAAGATGATGGCAACGTCCAGCGAGTGACCCGTAAGGGCGTATGTGATCTTACGGTGGCCTTCAATGTCAAGTCCGCAGAGAGATGGGGGTTAGAAGGTGCGTACAATCGACAGGACAGTGCCCACGATGGGGACCACAGACACAAAGCCGATCAGCGTTGCTTGCGCGGCACTGGGCAACGATCAGCATACAAGGAATTCCTCCAATAGGGCTATAAATCACTCACGCCATAGGACGCATCGTCGCCACCTCCCGCTCACGCAGCATGCCTACCTGGTGCATGTAGAACTGCTCCCATGCGTAGTACTTGATCAACCGAATGCCGGTCAGCACCTCGCTGGTCTTGCGCGCGCGTTGGTCAGTGAGTGAAACGCCCTTCACCCGCTGTTTGAACATGACACTGGCGAGAATCCCTTGAATAGGAAATGCAAGGACGAGGACCTGAGAGGGGGCGAATGAGTGCTTTGTCACGCAAACATGTCCAGTGGGACTGCTCACCGCCAATCCAACCAAGGCTGATACCCCGAGCTGGTACATAACATCAGCTTACACGCCATTTTCAACGAGCTATCGATCTGACATTACGAATGAGGAGCCCGATGCCAATGGCAATTTGAATCGGCGCAATCCAAACGCTAACATACCTGATCAGCACGCGGAGCACCCTACTCGAGGCTGCAGCGGCCCACTCACTTATGGATGGTAACGCTGTTGAGGTCCAATCTGACGGAGTCGGCGGCGATCATAGTGGCAATCTGCCCGCTGTCGTGCTTGATACGTGCTCTCCCGCTAAGCCGCAATGCCTTCCGGAAGATAGCCCCAATGATACTGCTCCGGATGCACAGACCGTTCGTCATTGCAACTACATGTCCTGCGCTGAGCCAAACCGAAAATTGAAATGGAAGAAGCACCTACCCATCAGGTAGTGGTTTTGCATCTGGGGACCGTGTGCGGTCAGCCTCTGCTACCCACGTAGATGCCGCACTATAGTTTACATACCAGACCGGAGACCTCTGTCGTCAAAGATAAGTCAGCGTATCTGGAAGAAGCAGCGTATGTGCGTACCTTGCATAGCGAAGATAGCAAATGCAAGGCCGATGCCGTAGCCAATCCCTTGCGGCTTTGGGATAACCGAGCGCTCCTCGTGGCTGGCACGGGAGTAGACGTACGAAGCAGTGAGCCACGAGAGAAGGAGCTGGTTGACAAGCGGGGTAGTGGTATTCAGGGTATCTGCCAAACACGGTCTCGTCGACGTCGTCAGGACCCAGATGCTATGCTGCCACGTACCAGCGACGAGCTTGAGCACACCAGCTGTCCAGAACTGGCGCCAAAACACGCCATGAAGGGCCTTCAGAAGCGACGGCTCAGACTTTGGTGTCGCCGCAGCCGCGCCCTTCGCTTCTGCAGTCTCCTCTTCCGGTCCATCTTTTTGTGATGACTGAGACGAATGGCGCGTCACGTCTCCGCTTCGATTGTCGACTGACGACGCCTGCCCAGTGTCAAGGAGGATGGCAGGACGCTCTTCGGGGGAACACTGCTTGTAGAACTCCTCCTCTACGCGCTCGGTCATGCGTCCCGTGAGACGGGAGTCGGGCAGAGACCAGAAGTCTCCAGAGAGGTGCGTCCGCGTCAGAGCAGGCATCGGATGCGGTGAGATCAGGTATGCGTACCGTCAGCCTGCAGCGGGCGAGAGAAGCCCACAGACAGCAAGGGATCCAGCCATGAGAAGAGAAGTCTGGACAGCGGTCTGGTTGGTGTGTTGTCAGTGGACTGGACTATGCACTTGGCCACAGGACGGAGAACTCCGGTGCCACCAGGTACACTGGGGTTAGGACGATACGCGGTGACCAACGACAGGAGGTGCGCGATCAACGGGTGTAAGTACTCACGAAGCTCTAGTCTCGGGAACGACCTGCCCCTTGCCGTACGCAGGAGGCGCAGGTGTGCGACGGAACGGATTCCGCATGGCGGCGTCGGGGAGTATCAAAGGAGCAGGATGGTCATGTAAGACATCAGGTGGACATTAGAGATATAAGTATGGACGACGGACGATTCGCGCCGTGCATGGTTTGCGTGTCCACCGGAGCGAGTGATGGGACGCGGCACCGACCGTGGCAGAAGCGAGGGAGCTTCTCGCGCGCGTAAGACTGAGGAAGGAGTTTCAAGCCCCCGGGTAACTTGCGCGCGACTACTCTCTCGCTCTCAGCCAATGAAACCTTGATGAAGCCGTCCGAATCGTCGGACGGCAGAAGCGCACAGAGAGAGTTCGAGGAGCACAGCGACTTGGCAGTTGCCAGTGACTCACGAGCACTTGCGCTTGACTTGCGCTCAGCCTGAGCCTGACTCGATGCCTGCCGCCTGCCGGTTACTGTGGTGACCGGTGACCGGTGACCGGTGAATCCACGTGAATTTGCTTACGAGTATTGATGCGCCTGTTGCCTCCTTGGGATGACCGTACCGTGACTGGTATGTGTAGAGTGGATGTGTGGAGGGTCGATTGAACCGCGTCCAAGTCCGACATCGACTGGGAAGTGGGGGGAGGGAAGGGGGATTCCTCTGACTACAGTCGACTCACCGTCTTATATACCCCCAACGGAATAAGGTTCGTACAACTCGGAAGGTTTGTTCGTCACCGACGTTTCCATATTAAGACTCTAGTACACCTTATTTGGCCAGTCCTTCACAGTCTCAAACGTGGACTGTCGTAATGACCATAGCGTTTCGCCTTCCGCGGGCATGTGGTGTAGTTGGTTATCACGCTCGCTTAGCACCAAGCATGCGAGAGGGGTCCGGTTCAATCCCGGACATGTCCAGGAGTTTTTTTCCACACTTTTTTGTCGATTTACTTGGTGGCTTTTGTGCTTCCTTGAACATTATTTGACTTTGACTAGTGACAGATTGAGTACTCCCTGCAGGTGAACGCGCCTCAGCGACAGGCATGGACGCGCGTTCTCCACGCAGGTTCAGTACCTACTTATGTATTTTCTGTGACTCGTGGTCTCATCACCGCTGATAACTTCGGATTGGCTTCCCATCGCTTTCTCCACCCACTCACATTCGGAAAGCGAAACACGCCTGATCCTGCACGTCCGAGACGTCTGAGGCCAGTGACATGACGTCAAAACATGGTCGGTGTCTAGTCGGTGTCGCGGGTGACCAGAAAAGCACCCCGCATTCCGAATTCACAAAGATATACCTACATGCGCGGCCGCTTCTCTCGATGCTTGTGGCTTCTCCTTCAAGACTTCCACCACATCCACAATGGCAACTGTACTTGAGCTTCCGACCGTCCTAACGCGCCGACCCCCATCCGAGTCGCCGAATCTCCCAGCGTCGCCAGAGCCGTCGACGCGCGAGCACTCTCGCGTGCGATTCGAGAGCCGAGGACGAAGTCCTCGGGGAAATGGAGCAAGCCCACCGGCGAGTACGCCTCCGGAGACGTCGAACGAGCACGGGGAGAGGACTTGTGAAGGAGAGAGCGGACGGTGCGAGGAGGAGAGCAGAGAGGGGGAGATTGCGACGTTGGGCTCGCAGACGAAGCGGAACTCGAGACGGACGGCACCACGGTGGCGCGAGCTCATGAAGGACTGGGGGCTCCTGCTCACGCTGGAGAACTCTGGCAGTGTCGCGCGCGACCATCTCGCGTCGGAGCGCACCTTCCTCGCATATGCCCGGACAAGCCTGGCGATTGCATCGACCGGTGTTGGTACGTCACTACTCCTGCATGAACGTTGTCCCGTACTCACCTTCGTCCTAAACCTGCCGAACGTGCAGCACTAGTGCAGCTGTTCACTCTGGCCGCCACCACGACGAACTCTCACGTAGACAGGTTCGCGCGACCGCTCGGCGCGGTCATGATAGGGCTTGGGCTCTTCACGTTACTCGTTGGTGTCGCGCGGTACTTCCTCATCCAAGAGGCCCTCATCCGCGGGGTGTATCCTGTCGCAAGAATCAGCCCCACATTACTCTCGCTCATCCTCGTCCTGGTCGTCATCGTCGTCTTCGTCATCATTCTTGTCGCCCGATAATGTCCAGTCCCAGAGTCGAGTTTAGAGACCCGCTTTGCATCGGGAAGGGTATAGAAAGGAGGAGGGAGGCCTCAGCCAGGTCTCATCATAGAGTGCGTACTTTAATCTGACATATATACCCATACAGCACATACGCCATCCTTGATGGCAATAACGACATCGACATATGCATGGCATATACGCGCCCGGCGGCGAGATACATCTCCGTTTTCCTCGGATTAGCATGTAGACAAGTCGTCATCGCAAGCGCAGCCAGCTTGAGCAGGCTTGAGCTCGACAACCTGAACGATATCCACCACGGCTAGGCTTCACCCATGTATTCTTGGACGGCTATTTCTACTGACCATTCAAAGCGGCCCCAGCTTCGCCATTAAATCGCCCAAGGTCACGCTCGAGGTCATTTGCTCTCCCGACGATGTCGCGTCCCGACGGACCTGTCCGGATGGTCATTCATGCTCCTAGCAAAGCCTTCACGACTTCAGCTTGATCTCATGACACTCTCATCGGCCCGAGCGCAGCTGTTATAACGGCTGACAGCGAGACGTTATCCAGCAAAAAGCGACCGTCATTCGTTTCTTCGAGGATGTGGTCATTTATCTTGGGTCTCTTCCTCTCAGCGGTTCAGAGTGCCCAGGCACTCTCTCGTGCTCACATCGCATGTCAATTGCAGAAGCCGCAAAACGTTCATCCGTTAAGTGGCTGTTCGCCGGGGACGCTATTCGTATCCTCGGATCACCCTCGCGCGGACTTCAACAGTGTACAAGCGGCCGTTTCGTCTCTGTACGTCTTACATCCTGGTGACATCGCAACCCAATCTAACTACATGTACTGACGAAGTCCCGAGCATGGCGCCGCGACTATCCTCATAGGAGCAGGGGAGTACCACGAGACGGTCAACGTCACCCGCTCAGGCCCACTGACTCTACTGGTCAGTCGTTCGTCAGTGTCTGCTCCTCTCGCCGCTGAAACCCACCGTACAGGGCCAGCTCGATCCGAAGACTGCTTTCGACCCGGCGGGCAATGCATCCACCCGCAATTCGGTGCACATCTGGGACAATCAGTTCGTCCACACCGGCATGGACGACGCCCAGTCGCCTCGTCGCACCCTCCTTTAACGCATCCCTGATCGGTGCTGGGCCGACGGGAGCACCGCTGCAGCCGCTCTTCGGCAACGTCGACTTCAAGGCGTACAACATCGACTTCGAGAACCGAGCGGTCAGTCATATGGATGATGTGCGGCTGCGTTTTCTCGTACCGATGCATACCTGGCGTTAGGCCAATTTCTCTATCTCGCAGGCACTAGTGACCGACATCTCGTATGCGAACGCGTCATTCTACGGATGCACGTTCGCGAGCTACCAGGATACGTGGTACACGGGACGCAACGCGAGCACGTACGTCGTCGACAGCATCATATTCGGGCAGACGGATTGTGAGTGTAGTCATTCTGAGACCTTCGACGAGATGCTGAGCCATTACCAGATTTGTTCGGGTTCGGGACTGCGTGAGTTGTGCACGCCGATGCAGACCGGTCGACCGCTGAGGTCACGGAGGCACAGGTGGTTCGAAAATATCACGCTCGCAAATCGTGCATGCGGTGGAGGCATAACCGCTTGGAAAGGTACCAATCTCACAGATGCTCCCGGTAATCGGTATGGAGCATACATATCGAACTCAAGAATCATCCGAGTGCGTCGTCTGCTCACTGAATATACTCATTGAGACAACGATGCTGACCCCGCCTACTGCGTTCAGTCTCCCGATGCCAATGCGACGACGGTGACTGATGGGAAGTGCTTCCTGGGCCGACCATGGAACGATCTGGCCACGACAGTATACCTGCGCACCTTCATGGACGAGAGCGTCAACCCTGTGGGCTGGACTCCATTCGACAGCGCCAGGTGAGCAGAGCTGTGCCTGCATGCGTCTCGTCATCTGAATGTTCTGAACGTTCGCACAGGCCGGTCATCATGAATACGACATTCTATGCGGAGTACGACTCGTTCGGTGAGACAGCTTGCATGCCGCCGACTTATATGGTCTCTACTGACCTGGTTACGGCGATATCGCTAGGCCCAGGAGGCAACACATCGGCACGCATCCCGTTGGAGCACGTCCTGACGAAGCAGGAGGCGGGCAACTTCACGATTGACAAAGTATTCTTGGAAAGGCCGAAGTGGATCGACTTCGACTATGTGATGTGAGCACCCGGGTCCCACTTTCAGCGGGTACGGCAGTCGTCCATACTGCTCTTCGTGCTCGACGCGTAGCATTGCGGGGTATGTACATAGCTGAGTGATGCCGTCCGGAGTACCGGCGCCGGACGGACGCAAAACTCCCCACATCACCAGAATCATTGCAGGCCGCCTTGACTTCGCTTGGTGTGTTGTCGTTCTGCGCAATTGCACCGCGCTGGAGGAGGTACACCCTCTGTGCAATGATTTGCCGGTGAATTGACTTTGGTGCGCATCCTACCATAAGATCTTGATAAGATCCGACAATTCAGGACAATCCTTGTCCTCAGGCCGCAGGCGCCGTCGGCCAGTGGCGCAGCCTCGTTTGAACTTTGAGTGGCGTTAACGCACCTTAACTCGTTAACGTTCCTATCGTCGTCGATTCCATAGCACAAGCGCATCAAACATTGCAGTCACCACCATGAATCTTTACGATCAAGCACAATTGCTGGCACAGATGGCGGAGGGATTGGAGCATGATGCAGATACTGGGTAAGATGCCGCTACGCCTCAAGCCTTGTTTGTATAGTACTGAGCAATCACCGGTTCAAACTTCACGTAGCGTCGATGAGGTACTTTGCGTCGTGTTATCAAAGACTACTTATCATGGCCTCACCAGAGTTGCAGCTTTACAAGGTCTCCGATCTCCTCAAAGCTACAGAGTGTAGCATTCGAACCGCGATCAACGCACGCGCACCGATACACAGAATCTTACCACCTGAATTGATCCTCGCCATCTTCGCATTAGTACCGGCTTATGCGTATAGTCCGGAAGACATCTTCGAGGCCGCATGTGGGCCATATAGCTTGATGGCGACCTCAGAGCTGTTTCCTATCACCTCGGTCTGCAAGTCCTGGCGGTCCTTGGCTTTTGGTGCATCCACTCTTTGGTCTAGCCTTTCGTACGGACTGTACAAGTCGCAGTCGCGCCCGCCCTACCTCCCACCTCTCCACATATCGTGTTTGCCTCCCGATTGCATTGGTCATGGGCCACTGTACGTACACGCGCAGCCCCAGGGCTTCAATTCAGAAGTACACCCTTACACGACCTCCGGATTTCTGCTCAAGCACGGACACCAAGTCGAGGAACTGCACATCAGGGTCAAGCCTCATCGAACCAGCGCTAGCATAGCACACCGATTGGCGCAATTCGCGTCTGTAACAATCCCCGCGACCACCCTGCGACGATTGGTCGTACGCGGCATATGCGACAGGCGAAGGTGGCAGGATATGGCCATATTCGGAGACGTACCCCTTAACCTGTCTTCCCTGGCCATGCTCGATGCTCGCTTCCTTCCTTCCAACGCCGCAGGCTCGTCTTTGACGCGCCTACTTCTCTGCGAATACTCAAGTTGGGCGGAGAAAGAACCAGCGATACCCCTTCGGAACCTCTTACCGTTCTTGGCACAGAACCCTGGCCTGGAGCAGGTCTACCTGCGGGGAGTCGCAGAGTGCGAGGATATCCAATCCTTGCCTGTGGTGACCATGTCGCGTGTTCGGAAGCTGGTGGTCACACCCGCCCTGGGCGCGAGCCAACTTCTATCTCGTCTC